AGGTTCAGGATGTGCCTCGGACTCTATTCGGCGAGCTTCAACCTCAATGCGGTTAACCCGCATTCCTCGGGCATTCATATTCTTCAAGGCCTCCTGATAGCATGTTCGGGCTGTTGTTGAATCACTTCTGGCCACCCCAACCCCAGTATCTATTGGGAATTTGATACACGAGTGGCGGACAGAGGTTATTGCTTCCAGATCTTCCAGTGCTGGTCGGCCCAAAATGGCGTTATGGGCACATTTAATGTCCACCACCACAAACGTCATTCAGAACGATGCTTTGTGTGTTTCATCTCCAATTTCGATCATCAATTGGATCGTGCCTTCAGCCTCAATGCAATTTCCTCTGAAGCTCGCGAGCGGTGTCCTCAAGTGAGTCAGTTGATTTCTTTGCAGGCCCATTCTTTCGAACGTGTGTAAGTACAATATGTTCACGCTGCTCCCTGTATCTATTAGCACTCGTCGGATCAAAGCATTATCTATACACATGCTTATCACCAACTCGTTCCTGTGCGGACTTGGTGAGTTGGGCAAATTTGCAGGCCCAAAGGTGATTGTGTCCATCCTTCCTTTCTTTTGGGGTGGTGTGGCTATAGAGCCCACGTACAGGCTCCGTTCAAATTTCTTCCATTCGGCGTTTGAGTCACCTGTCTCCCCACCCCCAAATATACCTTCACCTGCATTCTGGTTTTTTTACCCGGGTTCCCCGAACCTTCTGGTTCATCTCTGGGAGGGTTATATACATCATTCCTGGGGCGAGCTTCACGCTGAACGTCCCGCCTCCAGCTGTTGGGTCTTTTGACCGGCTTCAGAATGCCTGTAACATTCGGGTCTGTATTTACATATTTACCCAGATGATCCCTCTAGATCAATTTCTCAATTGCTATTTGTAATGCCCAACAGGATTGTGTGGAGTGACCGTTCCTGTTGTGGTACTTGCAAAAAGCATTCCCATCAGCCCCCATGTAACTTTTGGTGTCGGTCGGAGGGGGAATGTTATCCTTCTCGTTCTGATAGATGTTTGCATTAGACAGGACCAAAGGGGTGAATCGTCATGCTCTTGGAGGAGGAGCGGCCGCTGGGATAGGACCCAGCCGATCGGCCAGTTTTATTGGGGTAGGGGGTGCAGCTACCTTATCCTTGATCATGATTTCTTCCTCCAGAGCCGCATGTTTCCGGGATCTGTCCAGTACTTCAGAATACATCGTGCCCGGATTCTTTTTCAGATATTTATACAGTTCACCCGTTCGGAGAGCATTAGTAAATAGGGTGATGGCTGTATCATCCGTCATGTTCCCCACTTTCAGGGTCTCATCCCTCCATGTTTTGAGGAATTGATTTAGGGTCTCCTTCGGGCCCTGCCTGATACTGGTCAGGTAACTGAAATGCCTTTTTGGAGTGGCACTAGAGACAAACTGGGCCAGGAATAAAGACGATAATTCGGCAAAGCTGCCGATCGATCCGGGCTGCAGGGTCCCGAACCATTCCTGGGCAGGTCCCGTGAGCGTGCTGAAGAAAAGACGACAAATGGCCGCCTCCGATGCTCCCAATAGCATAATCCCCCCTTGATAACTCCTCAAGTGTCCGTGGGGATCTCCCGCCCCGTCATATATCTGACTGGTCGGTGGTTTGGCATCCCTGTGGATCTCAGCTTGCATTATTTCTCGGGTGAAAGGGGAAGTAATCCTGACCCGCGCTGGAGTAGGTTGTAGAGGTGTTCTGTTCATTTGTTCCCTCATTTCGTTCATCTGCCTCCTCATTTCGGCCATTTCTTCCTCCTGGGCCGTTAGGGGAGGTGGTGGTGGAGTTCCCAGGTTGACAAACTCCCGATTTCCTTCCGGAGGAGTTGATCTCTGATTCTGATGTCTCTGCCTGAATCGCGTATTATTACGTTCTCCAAACTGGAAATGGCGACCAACGGGTGTATCTCCTCTGGCCCGTGACCCGATCGGGGTGTGGTCACTAGAAGTGTGATGCCTGCCCCTGGACGCATGGGTCTCTCTGCGCTCTCCCCGGTGGGCTCGTGAATGCTTCGATGTCGTGGTTGTTTCGGCATCGGTGGTATCATCATTGAATGGTTGCATCGTAGAGAGGGTGGTGTACCTAGTCTCCCCCGTATGGCCGGATCGTACCCCATCCTGCTCATCCGCCAGGTGTTGCATGACCTGGGCTAAATCTCGCATAGCATGGGGATTCCTCCTCAGTGCTTCAGGGATGAAGAAATCCCCATCAAAGTGTAGGTGGGATCCCCAGCTGGATTGCCCTTGGGGGGTCCGGCTTTCCCCGTGCCTTCCTTAAGTGTCACCGGTGTGATGAGAAGTGATTCTAACCATTTTGGAATTAGTTTGATGTTTTGGTGTGAAACTTTTTGTCCAGAGCTTCCCACAGACGGCGCCAATGTTGAGGTTTAGTCCCGCAGATCCGAAAGCCCAACACGAACTTTGGATATATCAGGAAATAGATCAGAACCAAGTGTATAAATAAATATAAAAGATGAGTAATTGATTGCTCTAGACATCACTTTGTATTAAATAATTTGCTTGATTATAGGGAAACCCCCTGATCGATACGTCGGAGTAATGATTAATACAAGAACAAGAGTGATAATGCTATTCTAGAGCTTGAGTATCAAAATGCTAACCCTTTACAATGATATTAAACCCTCTATTTATACTAATGGGGGGTATGGGGCGCTCTATGCTGATTGGTTGTTAATCCACCGACTTGGGTGCCCATGCTTCTACTTGTTAATGTCGTAATCTGGCATTTAATGCATTCTGACCACTTGCACGTTGTCCGTTGCCCGAGCGGGATAATGGACCATATGGAAAACGTCATTAAGTTGGTCCAAGTATGAGGTATGACCCGAACCCCGTTCGGCATATCTATTTTTGGGCCAGCCTTTATTTGGCCCGAACCTCGTTCAGTGTGAATATCTCACTTGGCCTACTTACCACGGGGTTGTGGGCTCGTTGTTTGGGCTGGATATTCTGGGCCTTTAATCCGGGTATTGGGCTAAACTTTAGCCCAATACCCCAACACGAGTCCCCCACTTCCAATGTCTCGAATAATAGTGAGTGCATTAGGAAGTAGAGCCTAAATGCCGAATGGCGTTCGACACTCATAATTCGCCGGTTCCCCATTTTCTGATTATTACCTCTTTTGCGGGAAAAGAGCAAACCTCTCGAAGGTGGAAAGATGGCACAAAATTGGGAAGGCCCTTACCAGGTCTGCAAATAATATGCTTCAGGAACGTTCGGTCTACTATTGCCAGGGACATGGAATGTAGAGCATCTGAGGAAATTTTATCAATAAAAACGGCTGTTGTCACCTCTTAAAAAAATTGGGAAGACCCTTACTAGGTTTGCTATTTGGGCGGCTTCATGCTGACTTGGTTGACTAGAAGGTTGTGCAGGGCTTTTCTGATCCGCATAAGTCTTGTGATGTCCATGTACTTGCCTCTCTTGATGCCCAGGTTAACCAAACTTGTGATTTTGAAGCCCCCAATTTAACCACACCAATTTAACTTTTTTTTTTTAACTTTGTTGATTGCATTTCAATGTTATTGTTTGCTAAATGTGGGGAAAGGCTATAAATAAAGATGTGGAGGCACATACTGTGTTTTTTTATCAACTTAGTTTGAGATCTTTTAATAAACCCACTATTTATTAATCACAATTTCAGGTCCAAACTGTGAAGTGTATGCTCTATAGCCTCTTATCGCTCACACTTTTTTAAATTTTAGTCGATGTGTCATTTGATCGTCCAGTGTTCTTACATTATTGCATTTCTATTTGTTATATTTTAGTTTTGCATTCTGAAAATGTGTTTCACAATATGCATATTCATGCAACAGTTTCAAGAGAATGCCTGTTTCACATATTTGGCACCATCTGTGTGGAGATAGTTTCAAGAGAGTGCACAATTATTGTTTTACTCATTTTCTGTCTAAGCTTTGACAACAATTATTTCACACTGCACATTTTTTAGCTTTGCAGCTCTCGAGTTACCAATTCAACGTCACCGTAGGTTTAAGCCGCCATAGCAATTCAACGGAGGTCCCTATTTGTGAATGATATAGGACAACGTGGATATAACATTGGAAAATCAAGGTTGACAACTTGCGGAAATTTATCAATGGGTGAAAGAGCTGATACGAGTGATTGAACTAACTTGAGGTTACACTTATAACTTTTGCCTGTTTCATATTTCATGTATCCTTTAAAAAAGACTATACTTGTAATTATGCTGGTTTCAATATTAAATGATGGTTTCATACTATCAGTTCCCCTTTTGGGATTTAAATGGGTTTTCACAATTTTAGGTCTTGTTCCCTGTGTTAGGCATGATTTTGCGCAACGCGCATTTCTAAGCTAGGAGTTTATGGTATTCCTTCAGTTAATATCTAGAAGAATAATATCATTTCTACTAGTGACTAAAATCTTATGCAGAGAGTGTATGAATTAGTTGTTTGTCATTTCCTGGCATGCGTCTCTCAACCTGCCAAAGGAGCTGAGACCATAGTTGAGATTGATATTGCTGGTGAACAATTTTCTACATGTGGGAGAACAATAATTGTTGTGAATTTCCGTCAGCTGTGATTTTTCGGTCCACTCGCAAGTATTGTTTCTTCCTGCGCCAATAGAGTTTTTACATGTGGGTACACACATATTCCTAATCAGAACATCTCTAGCAACTCTTTTATTTTCCCCTGCATTCTATGGAACAAAGTTAATGCATGATATAATTCAGAAACATCATTACTGCAAGTTATGATAGATTGTTGTTAGATTCAGCTGCCATTTTCCTTTTCAAACAATTATTGTGCAGCGATTTAGAGTCTTATTTCACCATTTTCTCTAATAATTTGGTGGATGATATGACTAGTGCTTGAATTGTTATTTATTGCTCTCCTATGTACTTTGGAGTTTTGATGTTCTTATTGTGCAAAAGGAAACACAATGCTAGGACAAAAAAGAAGATAAAATTGAACAAAACAGTCACGATGAATAGATACCTATCATTTATTTGAACAAAGTCTGTTATTTTAATACAATCATAATGTCGTACATTAGGTCTTCTGTCTGGCAACTGGAGGCGTAGGTCTTCTGTCCGGCAACAGAAGACGTAGGTCTTCTGTCCACTGCGTCGCCAGAAGGCGTAGGTCTTCTGTCCATATATGATGGCCCCTCTCAATTTAATTGCAATCATTGTTTATGTACACATTATTTGTACACACTCAACACACTTTCTTGTCAATACGACAATTGCTACCTTTTTCTAAATTAGTTGCTTGTTTACACATGTAAGTAGGTGTGTACACATGTTTTGTATATTTCACACTCATCTGTGTACACAGACAATTGCTGTTTTTTCTAAACGACTGTGTGCACAGAAAAGTGTGTTGTGTACCAATTATTTGTACAAATAGAATTTTTCATTTAACTGAGTGAAAAGATGCTTTCATGATCTCAAGAGACAGAGAGCAATATGGGACACATTAATTTTATTTATCCATTTGAAATCAAAATTATTTATTCCACCCATTGTACAAATACACTTAGGTTAGATACCCACTACTCGTAATTACTACATTAAACAGTTTGGTGGGAGGGCACGACAGCTGTAGAAGTTGACGTCCTCGGCGTCATCATCTGTGTCTCTACCGAGAGGGGAAGCTGTTTAGGTTTCTTCATTTGCTTAATCTCGCCATACGAATAAGACGCAAAACCCCATATGGAGAGGAAGAGGGAGATCCCCTTCTCGGCTTGGAACTTCTCGTGGTAGAAGATGACGGCGAAGACCTCCGTGACGGGGAGGAGAACGGTGATTATGACGCCGGAGAGCAATGATGAGCCGAAGGAAATCACTCCGACGGCTCCGACGAAGAAGAATTGCCACACGATCACGCTCCCTACTATTAATGTGTAGAATTTGGCTTCACCGAGTTCACTTTCTCTTGCCTCCCTTGGAATTGCCTGTTAATTAATTAAATAAATATAATTCATCATCAACCAATTAAAGTAGAATAAAGTGGAAATGTATGGTTGTGGTTGTGTAAGAAAAAGGTAAAATGAATGTTAGCCACACAAATAGTCCAAAATGGGAAATTAGTGGGAAGTATTTTTGAGAACGGGGGAGTATATATCATACATAGTACGTAGTAGCTTAACTAAAAAAATTGTTGTACTACGTACATAGAACCAAAATGTATACAAAGTTCTATAATACGAGATATGATTATACATGTTTTATTCTCTAGATAAGACTTATTTGGTTCTATTAAAAGAGTAAGTTGATTAAAGCTATCTAAAACATGAGGGATCTTTTTGAAAATAAAACAACGATTATTCGATTTATGAACTTAATCTTTATTTTAATATTATGTGGAGAATATTCGATGTGTTAACTTAACACGTACATATATACATATACTTCCCTCAAGTCTCAACCCAAGTTGGATTATACGATTGAGTCGGTGAGTTTTTATGTGCTCACACTTTTATTGTAATCACTGAATCTTACTCCGTAATTAATTAGTAGTGATATTATTGGTGAAGATGGAATTCTTTAGGTTTGAAAGCCGCATAGAATGTATGGAGTAGTGGAGTTGTCATGTTGTGTAGATCATTAAGAGATCAGATGATGATGCATTGAAGAAGAGAGATTGAAACAGTAAAGAAACATGCACTATATTACTCCCATTGTTTCTAATAAATACTTCTCTCACTAAATATGATGACTTTAAATTGGAATTTTTTCAATGCATGACTTAAAAATAAATAAACTGAAATGCTGAACTCGAATTAAATACGAAATACTCTATCTTTTCCGTAAAGGTTAGCAAATTTGACTTTTCTTGATCAATCGCAATCCACTTTGACAAATTACATGTTTTGGTACGAAATTTGCCATCATTAATTAAAAAAATCAATTTGGCAAAGCTGAGGTAAGGAAGGAGGTAGTAATTGAATAAGTAGATATGTGGATATCAATGTGAAATCATACTCCGATCATTGGAGTATCATTTTATGAGTTCCAGTTGCTGATGATGTAACATTGTAACGTGGAGACACGTTTATCCAGGAGGCCGGCCATCACAAGAACATTAATATCCCCATAGTAGCTAGCTACATATATGTATAAAATATTACGCATACTACAAAAAATACGGGATTCGCACGGAGTTTGGCACGGACTTACCGATTTTTCGTGCCAAATAGCTCGTGTCAAAGTGTTTTTGGCACGGATTTGGCATATCTTTGACAAAATCTCTGTCAAATCTCTGCCAAAATCCCTGTCAATCTCGTGTTTTTTTGTAGTGCGATCCCTACTATATATACATATATGGTAGGCATTGGTAGGTTGGACCTCTGGTGCGCACGTGTATAAGACCTACCGCCGCTTTGCTGATTGAGTCACCATGATTAACCTCCCCACCATCTTATTGAGTCAGGGTGGGGGCTCCTGGGGTGGGAGATTCCACCTTTCAGACAAAATGGTAGGCATTGGTAGCTAGCTTCCATATATCGTGGATTATAATATGAGTATGTTGTGAACTTGCCAGTTTAATCTTATTTAGCTCAAGTTCGTCAAATCAATTTGCAGTTGACTAAAAGTATATGGTTTATTTAAGTTCAAACTAATCTGATATGTCTACCGTAATATGTATGGGTGGATTCATTTTATATGCACTTTGTTACACTACGTGTATATATTTATGTATAAATCTATGATGAAGATGCTCAAAGAAGATGTTATCGTTATAGTAATCATTTGGTACGGGTAAACTAGACTTAACGAAGAAGATGTTCAAAAAATGTCATCAAAAAATTCCACCAGGAACCACCCCAATGGAGATGGCCAGACAGAGCCTCCTATATGACAGGTGATTTGCACTTTTTAAGTTAGTTTGAGGGTCTATTTAACCCTTTTCCCAAAAAATTGAATAAAGAATTGCCACAGAGCTCTACACTAGCGGAAAAAATTCTCCGTACTACACTAGCGAAAAAATTTCACCCCCTACACTCATGACAAAATTTTGCCCCCATGACCAGAAATCCTGGATCCGTCCCTGTTATTAATGAATACTACAATAATAATAAATTGATTATAAATGAAGCACAAGTTTCATAGGACCAATTTCAACTTAGTTAATTAAAAATAACCCTGTTTTATTTTTTATTTTGAAAAATGAAAAATAAAAAACTATTGAAACCCTAAATTGTAAAAAAGCTAGCAGCAGAATGCCAGAGTCAGAGCCGCCCGCCGCCGCCCGCCGCTACCCTCGCCGAGGCCGTTGACTGCCGCCGCCGCTGCCAACTACCTCCACCGCCGGCCGTCGTTCTGGACGGGTCCCGCCACCTCCCTGCCAGTGCATCGTTGCCATCCGTCTCCACCCAAACGGCGTCGCCATCCGCCTCCGCCGCCGCCATCCCAACCTCGTCATTGCCGCCAGTGTTCAATCCAGGACCACCACTTCACCTCCAAGCACCACCGCCGCCGTAAATTTGCCATTAAGTTGGCAGATTTGACCTTGAAGAGTACTTAGAAATCTCCCTTGAGAACAAATTTTCAGATCTCCCTTGATAAATTTGGCAGATTTATCTTGACTTATTTACACAAAACTGCCATAACCTTGGCAAAATATGAAGTCCACAACTAAATTTTCAAAACAAAACAAAAAAATAATAGAACAATAACTTTAACAGAAATAAGAATTTAATGACAAAAAATAAAAAAACGATTTACACAAAACGTGTTTTGCCATAATCTGGTTGTCAAAGTACATTTCTGCCATAAATTTGGCAAAATCGTATATCATCATCCAAAAATATGCCATAAACTTGGCAAAATCGTATGTCATAGTCCAAAAATCTGGAAACCGGGTTTTCTTTTATAATCAAGAAATCGGGAAACAGAAATTTGAAATAAAAGTCCAAAAATCCACAAATCGAATGTCAAAACCAAAAAACTAAGAAATCTGAAACAAAAAGTCAGAAAATACAAAACAAAATTCCTAAAATTGGAAAAATCGGTGTCAAAACCCTGGAAAACATAAGAATATGAGGAAAACTAGAAAAAACAGTGGCAAATCTCATTTAAATAGAGGAATAGGAGAAGGAGGAGGGGAAGGAGGAGGGGAAGGAGGAGGAGGAGGAGGAGGAGGAGGAAGAGGAAGAAGAAGAATAAGAAGAAGAAGAAGAAGAAGCCTGTGACGGTGCATGGCGAAGTCGGTAGTGACGACAGCGGCCTGAGGCGGGAAAGTCGGCGGTGGCTGTGATGCACGAAGAAGATGGGATGCGGAGAAGATGGGATGCGGTTATATCTTTGGGGTCTGGAGAAGTAATCGGCGATCTATGAGTAGGGAAGGGGAGAGAGAATGTGTAAATGGGTTCAAAGGCAAACCTGGGATGCTAATTTTCATGTTTTTAACGGTATGAGTAAATTGGTCCTACTAAAGGAAGAAAACATATCAAGTCTTATTTTTGCATTTCACCTTTTTTTTAGTCCTATATGGGGCAATTACTTTAAAATAAATCATAGAGAATAACTCGCTAACCAAATAACCCAAAAATCACTTTAGAGGGGCCAAGAAAAAACACAACATTAATTAGTAATTGTCCCATATAGGACTAAAACAAGGGTGAAATTCAAAAATAGGACTTAGATATGTTTTCTTCCCTTAATAGGACCAATTTACTCCTATTGTTAAAAACATGAAAATTAGCATCCCAATTTTGCCCTTGAACCCATTTACACATTCTCTCTCCCCTTCCCCACTCATAGATCAACGATTACTTCTCCAGACCCCAAAGAAAATAGTAATTGCATCCCATCTTCTCCGTGTAGATCTGCCGCGTCGCTTACTCTACCGCATGGTGCTTCCACCGCTTCTGCCTTCGTCGCCTCCACCGCCTCCGCTTCGCCGCTTAATACGTTTGTAATTTCCATTTGTATGTTTGTGTTTTTAATTAGTTTTGATTGATTTTTACTTTGGAAATTACACACTTTTGGTGTAATAGTTTAGTTTGTTAAATTCTTGTAAATTGTTTAGATTAGGTTTATTCTGAGCTCAAACAGGTCTTGATCAACTCAAAGGACAGTTGGTGAAACCCAAAAGTGGAAGGAAGGTGCAAAAATCAAAAGAAAGAAGATCCTGATTTTTTGGTCTATACCCGGTCGAGTATGACCTATACTCGATCGGGTATCTTGTTGAAATTTCAAATCGGATCAGATCCGATGACAAAGGATCATGCAGAGAAGATTCGGACCACGATCGAATGTCCATACCCGATCGGGTACACCGACACACCCGATCGGGTATCTCTTCAAATACAAACCCGAACTCGGTCGAGTATGCCCCGGATCTGAAGTTATAAGTATACTCGATCGGGTATGCTTATGAAATTTTCCCTTTGATCGATCGAGTATACCTCGAATTTGAGGTATTACACATACCCGATCGGGTACCTTGTATATACCTGATCGGGTACCCGAGCTGCATCTCAAAAGGCTATAAATACACCCCCTTTCCTTCACAATTAGACATCCAATTCCTTTATACATCTAAGCTCAGTCTCGAATAGTTCTTTCTTTATATTTTCTTCATGTTTAGTATCCAAATGAGGAGCTAAACTCTTCCATCTTGGTTTTGCTACTTTGAAGCTTAATGATTTGTAAGTTGTGAGTTATTTTCTTTAATCTTCTTCCTTGAATATAAATTCTTTCCTATTCATATTCCATATTAATATTTTGAGCATTACTTAAAGTATCAACTAGTTTTTTTTCTTATATTAATTATTACTAGAAATCAATCGGTTAATACGCTTGTTATTAATCCGGTTTTTTCAACAGTAGTAAACTTGGATTATTAATGCCAAGGGGAATTAATTATATTGATTAAACCAATAAACCGCTTGTGTTGAGGTTATAATTCTCAATCGTTTTCATCTTAAGTTTATTGCCACTATCAAGT